ACAAGATATTACGTCCCGAACGCTTTGATGCTGATTCCAATTGCCAAACATCTTCGAAGATTTGGAATCATTGGTTTCGTACATTCAATACTTTTATCACTAAATCTTCAACTCCAGATTCAGACAAACTTGATGTTCTCATCAACTATATCTCACCTACTGTATATGAATACATTGCTGAATGTAAAACATTTGACGGCGCTCTTAGTACTCTTGAGAAACTGTATGTCAAACCAAAGAACGAGATTTTTGCTCGACATCTATTATCCACATGCAAACAAGAAACTGGACAGAGCCTCGACCAATTTTTACAAAAACTGAAATCTCTGGCAAAAGATTGTTCATTCAAACCTGTCTCGGCTGAACAAAATCAGAATGATGCAATACGTGACGCATTCATAAGTGGAATGCAATCTAATAATATACGACAACGTCTTCTGGAAAACAAATTACTTGATCTTGATACTGCTTATGAACAAGCTCGATCCCTAGAAATGGCTTATCAACAATCACATTCGTTTCATCCTTCCGAATTCTCCAATTCTGCTGCAATATCAAACAGTGATACATCAAATGAACTAAACTCTTATGTGGGTGAAACAGGATTGACTGCTTCAATAAATGAGAAATGCTACTTCTGTGGATTTACTAGACATCCTCGCTCTAAATGTCCTGCAAGGGATGCAGTATGCAAACTCTGTGGTAAGAAGGGGCATTATCAGAAGGTCTGCCGGTCAAAATCGTACACCAAAACTACATCAGTTACTAGTTCTTTGTTGTCTTCCATGACTCTAGCCGCCGCTCCACAGTCTCTCTCCAATGCGGTTGTGCAGCTTTTTGTAAATGACATTCCCCTACAAGCCCTCGTAGATACTGGGAGCTCAGACAGTTATATTTCTTGTGCAGTCGTTCAAAAACAACATATAAAGGTAGAGCATTCTCGCACTTCAATCACAATGGCTTCCACAAGTCTGACAACTCATACTCATGGTCACTGTTATGTAAATCTACGTTATAAAGACTCGAGTTACTCACATATCAAACTTTCAGTGTTGCCAAATCTGTGTGCTGATGTGCTATTAGGTCATGATTTTTTACGCTTGCATAATAAACTCGAAATTCCATTTGAAGGTAAAAACAATCCATTTTCACTGTGTAATCTTGTTGCTGCACATATTGATCCACCTCCCTTGTTTCATAACCTAACACCCAAATGTGTTCCGATCGCTACAAAATCACGAAGACATTCCACTTCAGATGAACATTTCATCAAGCTGGAAATCAAAAATTTACTCAGTGAGCAGATCATCGAACCATCAAACTCCCCTTGGCGCGCCCAAGTTTTGGTCACTACTAATGAACGCCACAAGCGTAGAATGGTGATTGATTACAGCCAAACGATAAATCGTTTCACATTATTGGATGCCTATCCACTCCCAAAAATTGATGAGATGATTGAAAAGATTTCAAAATATACTGTATTTAGCACTTTGGATTTAAAGAGTGCTTACCATCAAATACCCATCAAAGAAGAAGAGAAACTCTTCACAGCTTTTGAAGCTTGCGGCAACCTCTATCAGTTCCGTCGTATTCCCTTTGGTGTCACAAACGGTGTTTCGTGTTTTCAGAGAGTTATCAGTCAGATTATCAGAAATGAAAATCTTCAAGCTACATTTGCTTATTTAGATAATATAACTATTTGTGGTGAAAACACAGAACAACATGCAAAAAATCTTGCCCGGTTCTATGAAGCATCCAGAAAATATGGGCTAACATTCAATGAGAATAAAAGTGTTATTGGCGTTAAACAAGTAAAACTTCTAGGCTATGAAGTTTCTCATAAAATGATCAAACCTGATCCCGATAGACTTCAAGCATTATGGAATTTATCACCTCCACGAGATCTTAAATCCCAACAGCGAGTCATTGGTCTCTTTGCGTATTATTCACAATGGATATCTCATTTCTCCGATAAAATTCAACCCCTTATACAAAATAAAATCTTTCCATTACCAGGTACTATTGTAAGCTCATATGCAGCATTAAAAAATGAACTTGCTCAATCTGTGATGACTACTGTGGATCTCGACTTGCCCCTTATAGTGGAAACCGACGCTTCGGATACTGCTATAGCTGCTACGTTAACACAAAATGGTAGACCCGTTGCATTTTTTTCCAGAACACTATCACCAAGTGAACGGCATCACTCAGCGGTGGAGAAAGAAGCTTATGCCATCGTCGAAGCTATTAGAAAATGGCGTCATTATTTACTTGGTACTCATTTCCAACTCATTACAGACCAACGATCAGTTTCTTTCATGTACGATATGAACCACCATGGGAAAATAAAGAATGACAAGATTCAGCGTTGGCGAATAGAACTTTCTTGTTACAGTTTTGATATAATCTACCGTTGTGGCAAAGAAAACAAAGTCGCCGATGCATTATCTCGCGGATATTCTGCTTCTGTCATGGGTGAAACTAATCTGAAAGACCTACATAACTCTCTGTGCCATCCAGGAGTTGTTCGCCTTCTTCACTTTGTGCGTTCTAAGAACCTACCTTTTTCTGTTGATGATGTGAAGAGGACGATATCTAGTTGTGCAGTTTGTGCTGAGCTGAAACCCAGGTTTTGCAAAGTATCCACAGGAAATCTTATTAAAGCGACTTCTCCTTTTGAACGTCTAAATATTGATTTCAAAGGACCTCTTCCTTCAAACTCCCGGAACAAATATCTTCTTACGATAATTGATGAGTACTCTAGATTTCCGTTCGCTTTTCCTTGCCAGGATATGACAGCATCAACTGTTATTAATTGCCTGTGCCAGTTGTTTTCCCTGTTTGGTATGCCATCCTACATACATTCAGACAGAGGATCGTCGTTTATGTCTGCAGAATTAAAACATTTTCTCCACGATAAAGGAATAGTTACCAGTAGAACAACAGCATACAACCCCCAATCAAATGGACAGATTGAACGTCTCAACGGCACTCTCTGGCGATGTATATCACTAGCTGCTAAATCTAGGTCCATACCAATCTGTGAGTGGGAAGTTGTTCTCCCCGACGCTCTTCATTCTATCCGTTCTCTTTTATGTACTGCCACAAATACTACTCCACACGAACGGATGTTCAGGTACAATCGAAAATCAACGTCTGGTGTTTCTCTTCCCAGTTGGTTAACTATTCCTGGACCGGTCTTGATGCGCCGTAATGTACGTTCTAAATATGAATCTCCAGTTGATGAAGTTGAACTGATTGAATGTAATCCCAAGTATGCTCATGTGAGACTTCCAGATGGACGTGAGGAAACAGTATCTATTCATCATCTTGCACCAAAAGAACATATATTTCAATCGCCCGTTAGCATGCCGATTCCAGACGCAGTACCAGAATGCCTCCAAAATCAACTTACTGAAGACGACATATCGACCCGTTCTACAGATACTGAAACTCCTATTTTGACGGACAATTTAAGTGAAAATGTCAAAATTGATCCGAACCCATCTTCTTTACTAGAGAAACAACGAAGGGTTCGTCCATACAATCTGAGAAGCCGCGAAGTCTAAACAGTTTTAAAAGTCTTGACTCCTTATGCTCTGTATTCTCAAACAAAAGGGGAGAAGAATGTGGTGTGAACATTTTCATAAACGTTTAGCATTTATATTATACACTATTCACATCTTTCATTTTTGTTTAAACCAGATCCTATACTGGAATTATAAAACGAATAAAGCCTTTATTGCGGGCCCTCAGTATTCTCACTTGATCGGTGAATGTTTGATTAACTCATAAACACTACAACTTGCAAATTCTTTTGTGTTCTGCTGTTACACCACTACTATCACGATAACGACCTTGTTGTTCTATACACACCAACTTGATTTCTGTTTATATTTTTCAAATCATTATAACTCATTAATTTCTTACAAACTCTTGCGTGTAATATCCCATTTTTCTTCGTTTCTAGGCGCATCGTGATTACAACTCATTCATTAAATAATAATTCATCTTACTAAGTAACTCTAACACCTCTATGTATTGATTAGTATTAACAACTGTAATTATATGACAACTCGTCACTTTTGTTACTATCCATGTTGGTGAGAAAAAAAGTGTACATAAGAGTTTAACTTTAAAGAGTAAGAAGTATTTTACATTTCCAATAGATAAGCATTGACAATCCTTTGCTATGAAGAATTGTGAAAACTTTCATATTAAGCAGCTTTTGCAATATATCGTCAGGTAACTGATTTTTTTTTGTTTTTATTCCTTCACGTTCCCAGTGGAACATAGGGTGGCTTCAAGCTAGAGCCAGCTTGAAGTTTCGGTAGCAGTGGTATTTATTTTTACAGGATGAGGTTGCTAGCCTCATGCTCAACCTTCCCTCTTTATCAGTCTTATTACAGGCTTAGCGAGGTAAAGGAGTGCGTCTGGCCGAGGATCGAGCCCCGGACCATATGAGTGGTCGGCGAGCATTCTACCACTGTCCCACCACCTGACTGCCTGTCAGGTAAGTGAAACAGCTAAAATTCTAAACAATTACTTAAAAGTTTGCCCCCTAATTTTATCAGCCTGTAATATGCTCATACTTTAAAAGTTTTTATATAACTAACTAGTGCGTCAGTGGTTCAGCGGTAGAACGCACGCCAACCACGCGACACGTGTTCCGAGGTTCGATCCCCAGCAGACGTACTACCACCTTACTTCACTAAGCCGGTAAAGAGGGAAAGTTAGGCACGAGGCTAACAACTCCATCCCGTAAAATCTAGCTTAAAGCCCCATGTTCCACTGGGAACGTAAAGAAATAAAATAAAATAATATATATAACTAACAACCTCAGAAGATTTAAATGTAAAAAAGAAGGAAGCATTCTACAATGTACAGTATTTATTTCTTCTTTTTTTACTGTTACATGACAAAAGTAATAAGAATTCAAAAGAATAATATTTAAAAAATATATATATGCTTTTATGAATCCTTGTTGGGTATCACCACCACCTATGTGATTTCTTCAAACATTTATCCTGTAAAACAATCTTCATCAGCAAGGCCTAATAGTTTACGCTGGGCAAATAAGGCATTCGCTAAGGCAGAACGTTGTACGATCTTAATATTATTATCATTACAATGCATATCATTAGATGAGTTTTCAGATTGAAAGATATTATTCGTCAAAGGCATTCGGTTTGCATAATTTTGACTTTGATAATTCTCATCTTTAGGCGATAAAATCTTATTGAAAATCATATTCCGCTTGAGAACACTGGATTTTAAATCTCGACGAATTGGCTGAGTGTGTTTTGAATTTTGTGATACTGAATTACTACTACTATTCAGTGAAGTTGAGAAAAATTCTGAAAGTTTTTTATCATCATTCGAACAACTGTTCAGATCTATAACAGGGGAATTTTCCAAAGGAAGTTGGACCTGAAACACGAAGGTAGATATAAGCATCAGGAGGTAAGCAACTATAAAATATTCGAAAACATTTGAATAAACCATTTTTATTTCAGTGTAAAATGCGTGAAGTTAAATATCGGTGATCCGAACCGATTTATTGACAGAAACACGAAACACAGGCAATCCAAACTAGACACTAGCTCAAGTTTCAAATAAAACCAACTTCATAAATTTGGAATTCAAAGGTGATCAGGCTTCGAATATGCTAAAAAAATTGTCTCGCCAAATCAGTCAATAAAATGTTCTTTGCTGCAAAACTACAAATGACCTTCACCAACCGTAAGTTGTTCTCCGTCTCTGTAAAAGATACACTCCCTCGTCTAGCCGCCTCCATGTGCATCTATCAGTTCACCTGCTCTTGTGAAACAAGGTACATTGACCGAAACCAGAGAATGCTCTCCGAAACGGATACGACAACATATTCCAGCAAAGTTTTACAAAGGAGGAAGGAAAGGTGAACGAAGCTCTATTCTAGAACACTTGATCGACTCCTGTCAGTCTACCAACCCTGACCATGATTTTAAGACTGTCTATCGAATCCATGCTAACTTGACGCGTTTTCTTCGTTACAGACTTCTAAAGACAGCGGAGGCCTTAGCAATTCATGACTTTAAGTCAGATATTTGTGTACAAAAGAAGTATGTACAGTCGCTACTTCTGCTTTGGACGTAGAGGGATAGACATTTATTTATTTATTCTTTTCCCTTATTACGATGATTATTATTGCTACTATTATTACTATTCTCACTCTGAGTTGTTTCCGCTTGTCCCACTTGTCATATTAAATCAGAAATTTTCTCACAATATTGGATTCTATCTTATCAAATTTCACATCATGTTATGTAACGTCTTTGTATTTGCCTACTAATCCTATAATTTTACACTTCCTTCCAACATCTATACATCCTACGAACTATTCTACATATGACATTATTTGTTTTGCCACTTGATATTTAATTATGATTCTAATCACAGACAGTTTAATTGCATTTCATACTACTACTATTATTATTTTATGCATTCACACCAATGATTTAATCCCCTCACCATATATAACTTCTTAAACGACCATATATATAAACGATTGTACAGTTTGATGATGAATTCCTTGAAAAGTCTCTTCGCTGAGTATTGTATTCTTAATGTTACAATGGGAATTATTAAGATATGCATTAGGCACTGTCCGATAAATCGAACTAGCAAGCATTGACCTGTACAAAAGACTAATCACACCATATATACATATACATATATACATAATATATTCCTTCAAACTGAACACAAAAGTAACAGGGAGTAATGAAAAGATATTTCGTCCTGATTTAGGACTCTTTAGCAATGCAAGTCCACTGAGATTCGAACGCAGGACTTTTGGCAAACAAGGCGAGCTCGTAGACCATCCCCAGGTACTGGTGTAGTGAGAGCTGTCTGCAAGCCAAAATTGTAAACAACAATTTACATCAGTGTTTACGTCCCGAATCGGGATCATGAGAAAAAAAACAAGAACAAAGCCTAACCTTGGGGAATTCAACAACCAATCACAGCAGACTTAGCGTGTGCAAATAAGATTCGCAGATATATGGCTTAACTTTGTAAGCAACGATCACAAGCAGTACAGAATAACCTTCAGGAGAAAACAACCAATCAAAAGACGTTGCTTCTCTGCTAACAATAACGAATAATAATGTACATAAAAATCTATAAATACATCTTGATTTTCTTAATAAACGATCTGTTGTACACTGGGATCTGAACCAATCATTGAGTTATTAGTCAGCCCTACTGATGATGAGTTCAAGGTCAATATTGGAAAGAAAACAGTTCTATTCTTTATAGTTTCTCTAAACATTCTTTTTAGCAGATGGGAAGCAGTCAAAAGACTGTAATACGATATTTCAAGATTGATCAATATGCACAAATATATTACGGTACAATGTAAGAAAATTCAAAATCTAAATCTTTAGAACTTACTTTTACCTCACTTTCTGCAGTTGGATTAGTGCTGTTTACAGGCACAGATTGTTTCTTGTTTTCAGGAAAATCTGTATGCAGTAGACGTCGTCTTAAAGCACATTCTTCACGTTCTTGCATAATTATTCGACGATGTAATATAACATTTTTAAGTTCTTTCAATACAGAGATATGCATTAAAGATGATGGATTCTAAGTGTGATAGAAGAAGAAAATGACAAACTTATGATAAAAACAACGCATGATAATATAATTATCACACGGAAAATAGGCCATTCTGATATGAAACCCTTCATAAAAAGCCAGCCTAATCATGTCACTCTATTTCGATTTAGAAACAGTTGATTATAAACCTCTCACTTCGAACAGACTTCACTGGTTGTTCCATACTGAAGATCACTTAGCCGGTAAGAAAGGATCAGCAACAAGAAACTCTGAGAACGAACGAACGAACGAGCCAGGAACCCATAGTTCAACAAATATATATCGAAGGAAATGGAGATAGATTGGACACACACAAAGGAAACCGTCGAGTAGTATCACGCGACAGGCTATCAGTCAAGTGTGGAACCTGAATGGGAAACGACGAGTTAGGCATGAGTCCGATGGTGACATGGGGGAGATCGTGTGGAGAGGAGATGAGATCTGATGAACAATCGTAGAGCCAGGCTAAAGAAGACTGCAGAAGACAGAATGAAATGGAGATATCTCCTGTTGAAGTCCTGTGTTTCACTCGGAACCTAAGGGACTGTTTCAAAGTTTCTTTCGCATCTATACCAAACAGCTGATGCAACAAAAACAATTTTTTAAAAATTTTCTTTTACTAGTTCTGATACAAACAAGTAATCTTCGAGTATTGCGCTATATACATCTCAAAATGGCAGACGTTGCAATTTATGGGATAAATATTTTTGAGGAGTGCGACGACTGGGGATCCAAACCCCGGACTATTTGTGTGGTTGTCGAGCATTCTACCGCCGAACTAACCACATAAATTTTTACAGTCCAGCAAAGGAAATTCATAGAAAATAAAAACATAAAAACTAAAATGAAAGGAAGAATATATATATATACCGCAGATTTACCTGCATAGGATCCATATCTTCGTTGGTTTTACATTCTGTGTCGGATGCATTGTCCGAGGTATCTCCAACCGCGATTTCTTCAAATGCCTGTGTATTAATAATTTTAAAAAAGATGGAATAAAGTTTCGCCAAGATGATGATAAGGAGATGAATACGCTTCAGAATTTCATTGTCTACCAAACTGCATGTTGAGGACTATTTTCAGAGTTTATATCTCATGGCAAAAAAGGCATCTAACTGTATTGATATATACATAAACACTACTCCATCCCAGCATATGAACAGCAGACAAACTGATATTCAAACTTGAGGCCATGTGTAGCTGAAATTTTAATATTTATGGTGCTAAAATACAATCACTCCATCATAGAAATAAAGCTTTACCACCAACTGTATTATTATTGACGTAATATATAATGATTGAGAGTGAACAACCTGGTACGGCTGAGGTTGGGTAGACCACTGTCTTCCTCTCGAAATATTCCCATGCGACCAGGCTTTCATAGTCTTCAACCGCAAAGTATTATTATTATTATTTCCTTTAGTTCCTAGAGGAACATAGGGCTTCAGCCATGCGTCTCCATTGCGTTCGGTTCTCTGCCAGAATCTTCACCTGGCTCCAAGTCTGCCCACACGTTTTCATCTCCTCTTCACATGACCTCCTCCAAGTCACCCTTGCACTGACAACCAACTCGCCGCCTCCCTTTCGGCCAGGTTCCACTCGAGCAATGGCTTGTCTAGTGATGTCACTTGATGCTATGTTTCCTCAGAGTATGACTAGCCAATCCATCTCCATTTCTTCCTGCCTATTTGTTTCACAATCGGTTCCTGGTTGGTTCGCTCCCAGAGATCTTTGTTGCTGATCCTTTCCGGCCATCTGATCTTGAGTATTGAGCGAAGACATCTGTTAATGAAGGTCTGTAGCTTGTTTGAGGTGCTCTTTGTGACACGCCAAGTCTCTGATCCGTATAGTAGTACTGGCTTCACATTGGAGTTGAAAATCCCGATCTTATTTTTGACGCTGAATGTTGTTGACCTCCACACAGACTTGAGAGTAATGAAAGCTTGCCTTGCTTTCCCGATCCTTGCTTTGATATCCTCGTCAGTTCCTCCTGTAGTTGAAACAATGCTTCCCGCAAAATAAGTCTTATTCATTGCCTTCACGCGTCAGCGATGTTCATCACAAAAGTAAAATGACGCATACGAACGTCTAGCGTTTGCAACAGGATCGGTGGACATACGCGTCTAGCTAGGGGAGCTGGAAAACCCTGATTTCAAACCTCTGGTGTACGTACATGAGCCCCAGAATCCGAACGGATCGAAGGGTATGTGAACCATTTTCTGACACCGGAAACCAAAGGAGCGCATATCCGCTCCGCCTTGTAGATCAGACTTCAAGTCAAAGGCTCGAAGGGGGGTGACCCTTAATGACAACCACCTGTTTCAGTCTAGAAGTCCAGGCATTATCTCAGTCCTCGAACAAACTATGAAATTTTGTGTGGCACATCTCTGGGTAAATATAATGTACCAACTTTTTGCTTTAATAAAATAAAAAAGAAATGAACATCTTGATCACGGAAGGACTCAAACAAGCGACTTCTGCTGAATTACTACCCCGACGCTTTATCAGTTGAGTTTTGAGACCAAACCTACTAACCAGACCACTAACAAAATTATTAAAAAATCCCATTGCTGTTTTTGATGTTATTATTCCACAAAATATTAATCACTACTTTATTTTACATACATCATCCTCTGCAATTGGATCTTCAGCTTTCAAAACATTTCCCCTTGATGGATTCTTGTTTTGGTAATATAAAAATTCGCCATCAGTTGTTTCTGAATTCATATTCGAAACCATATCATCATTATTCTCTGTTGTATGGACATGATCCAATTCATTCAAAAATATCATAGAGGCATTCAGTTGACAACGTACAAGATTAACTAATTTAGAGAATTGTTCATCTGAAACAAGTGATATTTCACTATTCTGTTCAACATAAGATTTTAAATTGTTTGCACTGAGGAAATAAATTTTTAAAAAGTAGAAATAAATAATTATGATTAATATCCCTTCACAGTAAAAGTGTATAGCAATGCAATGAACATGTGCGTCAGTGGTCCAGAGTTCAATTCCCAGCTGAAGGATTCCTGAGCTTTGGCTAGCCGGTAGTAAGTTCGGCAAAGGAGAAAGGTCGGGTATGAGGCTAGAAACCTCACCCCGTAACGACAGCACAAAGGTTACTGAAATTTCAAAGCCAAAGCCTGGAGTCCTATGACCAAAAGTTAAACTATAGAGTCCAAAGGAATGCGAGCGTACGAATGATCTTGAGCTGGCCAACCATAAAGATAAGTGACGTTTATTTACAAGAAAATGCATGAAAACACATTAAACAGGGTATCTTTCTCTAACATGACTTAAAAATACTTCCAAGTTATAATGAGGAGTATCAGTTTTTAAGTTAGACCAGTTTCTGTACATATATTCACCGGGGTGACTTAAGATGAGCTTTTTCCGTGACCCGTTTATCACTTTTATCCTGCTTTGCAGTCTTCCCCGAAAGCCTTCGGTTGAATTACTATGGTTCCCGTCAAGAAGATCGACGACTACTTACTAGGAAAATGTGGATAATAAGACATTAAAATAAATAATACCAACTCCAAACTTATCCTTAATGGTAACCCTAACCTTAACACTAACCCTAACTTTAATCCTAACCCTAATACCTACCTTAACCGTAATCCTAACCCTAACGAGCTATTATCACATTGTCCAAACAGTACTTAAAAATGTTATCTGGGGGAAATTTTCTCCTTAGTTGGTGAATAGCATTCATATTTGCACTGTAAAATAATGACAGGTGTCGTTAGCCAACGACTAGCATACATTCAAGATCATTGGAGCGTTCTCACCCCTGGGACCCTATAGTTTAACTTCCAATTTGAACACGAAGGAATGAAAGGAAAAAATGCATTCAACGAAAAGAATACAAAGTTAGGCTGATAACTACTTTTAAGTAAGCACCAATTCACAAAGACGTAAATTGTAGTAATATAATAAAAGATGAGCTAATATAATTCGTTTTTTCTTCACTCCATGAATTCCAAGTGGAATGCAGGACTTTAAGCTTTGAAATTTTACAATATTTTTTTTGTTTTTTCAAGGGGCGCAATCACTAGTTTTATGCCGAACATTCCCTCTTTACCGAGGTTACTATCGATCTCCAAACTAGGCGTGGTTTAGGAGTGCATTTGCTGCTAATCCGGCCCCAAACCACATGCGTGATTGGTGGGCATTCTACCATTAAACAACCAGTGATGCCAGTATCAAATAATTGTTGAATTATTAATACTGAAAAGTAATTGATCATACACCCCTTTACTTTTTAAACTTACTCAATTAAATAATCAAAAGTTAGGTACTCCACATTGACGAAGGATGTAACTTAAGTGACACACATATGATAGCAGATTGACTGCTAATTCATGATATGAGAATGTTCCACCTTAACTGGCCTGAATTTCATTTCATTCTTTGTGACGTAACTTGATATTTGTCTTCATTTATTTTCTTGCTAATTCTACTAATGTCTTTGTTGTCCTTACAACCTCTTTCATTTTAGTTGAGTAACTTTTTGCATGATTACGTAACCGTCTCTCCAAGTATTATTATTATTTTCGTTTTACTCCTTTATGCTCCCAGTGGAACAACATAGAGCTTCAGGCTGGAGCCTTAAAGTCTCAGTAGCAGTGATGTTAATTTCTGTGGGGTGAGATTGCTAGCTTCACATCCAACCTTCCCTACTTACCGGCGCTACTACCGGATTAGCTGGGAATCGGACCCCGGAACGTGTTGCGTGGTTGGTAAGTGTTTTGCCGCTGAACCGCACAACGCACAACCGTCTCCAATTATGCGTGAATTACGCTTAAATTCCAGAACATTTCTCTTTACAAAAATTACAATGTCTCTATATTATGGTTATAGCTAATTTTCCTAATTCCTGACTCATTTCCATTTTATTTCATTTTTTTTAAAATTTTATTATAGCTTGACTCCACGCAGTATTTTTGATACAAGTGTGAAATTTTCAGCATGTGATATCGGTAGCCCAAATTTTGCAGGCCGACCATTAATATCGGGTGTGCGTCGGCCAGGGGTCGAACCCCGGACCATGTGCATGGTCGGCGAGCGTCCTAACCACTGTGCCACCGACGCACAAAAAGGGTGGCCCATAACTCGACCAGCCACAGGCAGGATAAATTTGATTTCCAGCATACTATTCCACTCTTATGAAATGAACTGGCTATTCACAGATAGATTGATTCACAATCACTGTTTCTATAGTTTATCGTTCAAGTTGTATGCAGCTGATGAAAATCCCATGGAATAAACCAAACTTGTGCATATTGTGTGTGTTTTTGTAGTTAAGTCAATGAATATTCTCCTAAACTTATGATAAATAGGCATTTCTTTTTTGTGTTATTTGTAATGGATTACGCCAACAAACTTCACACATTGGTGCCTTTCTAAACTATGATCGTTATGTCAAACACATTTGCTAGCAGAATAAAAATGTCTATTCACTCTTATTTCGCTAATACTATGTATATTTTTGGCTCTCTGTAGTTGAAGAGAACCCTCGAAATAAAAACTGCACACATGTGGTACTGCAAATTTTGTTATTCCTGCTTTGAAAAACGAATAAAAATTATTTACTTTAGTGTTGGAATGATAGCAGAGAAAATGTTATGAATTGAAACATCTAAAGTATGACTGACTGATTTCATAATAGAACTTTGCACAGAAGTGTGGCAGTTAAACTTGCAACACTCCATGTGGCATGCACAGGAAGTCAATGGCGAGCCCCAATGGCTTAGTGGTGACGTCTCTGACTGTAGCACTGGGTGACGACACGGGTTCGAATCTCAGAAGGGATATGAGTTCTTTCAGGATCACAGATACGCCTTGCTGACTAGTGAGTGCCAACTAGCACGAAACCTACGTCCAGGGCTTCCTGGTGATTGCCTTCAACCGTCTAGTATCATCAAACCAATGTGTACCATGATGGCAAGCTACCTAGAATGGTGACCACAATGCAAACCTGACTGATAGAATTCAGTTTGCACTAAAGACAGGACTAGACACATCACACTAGTTACTAGTGTCCAATCAAAGAAAAGAAAGAGATTCAAAAGGACAATAATAAATAGAAATGTGAGGAAGAAAGAATAGTAATATGGAGTAAACAATAAGGTTTAATGGATATGGCAGCTCACAAAAAGTGAATGCATCTGCACCAATGAGAACGAATTCTTAGAAGGCAGTCTACACCTCTCTATTTGGCTCAAACTGACTGTTAAAGATTTCATGAATTGATTCCAAGTTTTGGTTTGCCCATCACTAGGTCTTTTTCAACCTGATCTTATGTCAGCTAGCATTGCACATCAAGGATATGTGATGAATGGATAGGCATACGTAACACACAATGTCCTAGCCATCTCAGTCGACTCACCTTCACACCCTCATCGATTGACTTTCTCTCCTTACCTGGCACTCGACGTCTAACTGCAATATAACTCACCATATTATGCAACTTAACATAAGAGAGATAGAAAGTAGACACCTATGATAAGAGATGGCTAGACTTTTCATATATTCCACTTTCATTGGCCACATTTCACGGTCATAAAGGAGGACGGAGCGGACTGATGAGCAGTACACAAATCTTTTGATCAATAGCCGGGTATCAAGCCTACGTCACAGGTGGTCGTGTAAGTTCGCAAATGTCTCACGAGCCTTTTTGTATCCATGCTGATTGATATCTTGTCAACACGCTCTACCGTTACACCCCCTATATTTAAGCTAGGAGTCAATGTAGTCTAGTCCTGTAGCATCACTTTACATTTGACAAAGGGAGTAAATCGCATGCCAAACATTCGAAGATTGCTGCTCAAAATGTCCAGAAGACTCTACATTTTATCAACGTTTTCACCTAGGAGGAGAATATCATCCACGTATTCTAAGTCAACAAGACTTTCCTGGTAATATATCAATACCTAATCCGCTGAAGTCAGTCGCGATCAATTCCATTATCGAACTTTATCGATGAGGTGTAAGTTTAAAGGTATTGAAAAAAAAAAACGAAGTGTACAACTTACTGTTCCACAGAGACAAGTAGATGTAACAATATTTCATAAGTTATTCGAGCTTCAGGGCAATGAGAATTTTTGTTTTCATTATCAGTTGAGGAACAATTATTTATAAACTCCTTGTTAATATTCACTAGTTTACCATTCATAATCATTGTGTGCAATTCATTAATCCTATTGAATTGATTAGTTATTCCAGCTAGAAAACAATTCCATTTCCATAGTAATATATCTAGACGAACTATGTATTCAGGAAAGAGAGACAAGAGATAACAATATACAAATTCTGCATTGATAAAAAATATTTTTTTAAAAACACTTAAGTCAACCAATAAAGAAGCTTATGAATTAACAGAAATAATTAATTTCTGAATGTGGTGGACTGGATCATATGGCAGACCTTGGAGAGAGAGAGAGGAGACGTGAGTACTTTGGACCGACTTCACGAACGATCAATGTCCTATGTCATACAAACTCGAAGACTTAGAGGCGGAAACCAACAGTTTAACAGAAGAGGCTGGCAGAGAAGGCAGCACTTCAAGTGAACATAGAGAAGACATCTAGCCAATAGCAACAACAAACACCAATCACTAAATAATAATGGGATGAATTTCAAAGAGATCACTTCACTCATTTATCTAGGCAGTGGTGCTTCAGCTACAGACGGAACGGATGACGATGTCAAAGGCAGGATTGGAAAAGCAAGACAGACATTCATTGCTCTGAAATCAGTGTTGAAATTATTTATTTATTTTTATTTATTTAAACGCAGAAAACACTTGGTACAATATGGCACCAAGAAAGATGCGCCACACAATAATAATAAAACAACATAGATTAAAAGTAAAAATATAAGTAGAAAACGGATAAAGAACTTCATCTGGAAGGAAAACAGTCATGTTTAACAAGTTCAAACAGTATTCGTTAACTATCATCAGGAAGGGAAGAAAGGAGGAAATTGCAACACGTTCGCCATTGATTACGATTCTTGGCCATATCCGATAACGTTTCGACCCATCGATTCGAGCTATCTCGCGGACCCCAACCAGGGAGTCGTGACGCACCAACCGATGCTAATCTAGCACAAATATCCTTCATCCCACGACGCCACGTCATGGACTGACCACCCCTCCGCCTTTTCCATCCCGTCCCAGGGCTAGCGAACAGAGACCTGTACGGAAGCCTCTGAGATGACATTCGCAGCACATGTCCAAGCCACCGGAGCCGGTGTTTCCAGATGACGACACTCAATGAATGGTGATCTCCACTGTGTTCAAACACACGCCGCCGAACCTCAGAATTACTCACGCGATGATGCCATCGAACGCAAGCAATCCTGCGGAGACAGCGATGATCGAACACGCAGAGTCGCCTCACATTCTCAGCTCGGAGAGGCCAGGTTTCACAGGCGTAGAGCAAGACAGCCCGCACCGAAGCATTGTATACCCGACCTTTGACAGCCAGGCTAACGTCGCGACGGCGCCAGAGGTGGCTCAAGTTGATGTATGCCACCCTAGCCTTCATTATACGGTTGGAAATCTCATTCGTCACCCCTCCGCCAGCACTCACACAACTACCCAGATACACAAACTTATCAACAACTTCAAGCGGTTCACCCGCAAGAGTGAGTGCAAGTACAGGCTCCTGCCAATCTTGTAACAGTACTTTGCACTTAGACGGTGCAAAGCATATACCATACTTACAGACACTGATCACCAACTGATTAAGTGCGATTTGGGCAGCCTGCATGCTATCGCACAGTAAGACGATATCGTCTGCATACTCGAGGTCGAAAAGTCTATCTCCAGGTAGCAGATCTACACCACCTTCACGCACATCCTTCAGAGCTGACTCCAGAATGTCATCGATGGCAAAGTTAAAGAGAAATGGAGAGATTGGGCAACCCTGTCTAACCCCACTGTTGGTTGGGAACAGTGATGATAGTTGGTTGTATGCCCTCACTCTACCTGAGGTGTTTCTGTATAGGGCTTTCAAGATGTTTACAAATTTCTCAGGTACACCTCTCTCTAACAGACAGTTCTGTCCAACGAATCGAAGGCAGCCCTAATATCAAGAAACACAACGATCGTTGGCCTGCAATACGTGTGGCGGTGTTCCAACAACTGACGAAGGGTGAACACATGATCAATGCATCCACGACCTGAACGAAACCCAGCCTGCGAAGCAAGACAGCAGCCAATAATTTAGACGCGACTGGTAGCAGACTGATACCCGGCCGACAACTGCTACCTTGCCGTGGTGGTCGGGCTTGAATGCCGCAGTGACCCAACAAGCTAAACTGGCTGGGACTCATGTCCCTGCAGGTCCTACCATGTCAGGAAGGTTGTTTGGATAGCGGTTAGACTAAAAGCAGTTACCATGGGGTACATGGGCTCCAGAATTCAATCGGATCAAATGGCGTATGAACCCATGGGAACGCAGCTCCATTGCCTTGCGGATTAGACTCCAAGTCAAAGGCTCGGGGGTGGTCCCTTAAGAAAACCACCTGCTTCGGTCTGGGTGCCCGGGCAGTATCTCAGCCCTCACACAATAAATGAAATGAAGCAACAAACTATTGTTGAAACTCACCGCGCGCTCGTAAAAATGATTCCAAGAAATAATGATACATCAAGTGTTGAAATTCGCCGCACTTAGCATACGAAACTATATTTAACACTAATTTCAAGTGAGTTAGGGCTCCTATATGGTTCAGAGACTTTGTGTGTGTGTCACGAAAGCATTTCTAATAGACTTCAGAGTTTAATAAAGTAGCTGCTTTCGCTGGCTCCATACTGAAGAACAGACAGCTGGCCAGAAGGAATTAGCCACAACGAACTCCAGCAACGGACCAACAAAGATCCTATCGCTTAACAAATGTGTCGAAGGAAATCGAGGTGGATCGGACACATGGTGAGGAGATCGTTACATAACATCACGCGCTAAGCCCATCTCCGAGTGGAACCCGAAAGGGCAAACCACGAGTTGCATAGTAAACAGGGATAGATTCGTTTAATGCATACGAAAAAAATAATGTAGTGTAATTACAAACATAAGAGGAAATTCCTAAATACGAAAAACGTACACATATAGGGCACATTCAAAGTTGGTTTACATAAGCTTGATGATAATCTGATCAAGAAGTCGGAAGTTAGAATTTTCGACAGTTCACCAAACATCTAAAAGTAAAACAAAAAATATATTCATTCAACAAACGACAAACTTTCAAGTTTTCGATATTTGAATCTTTAAATTTATCTTCTATCTCCATCTTCAACTGAACAAGTTCTGAAAATGGAATTTCCAAGCATCCATCGACAGCATTATCTTCAACCAATCCTGTAATATTAGAGGAAGTCAATTAAGATTTTTAAAAAGGGCTTGCTTACTTACTGTCCAATTTGACACAGAAATCAATCAACTCTAAGATATACGTCAGCATGAAGCTATGCGTTTGATGATATATTATAGGGAAAAGTTGAAATGTTTCTTTATCTACAATTCTTTATTCAGTTATGTATGATAATTTGAAAATTCTTACTTTGGGCCAAAATAACGACGAGTATTTAAGTCTTGTAAAAAGAGAACAATGACACGATATCCTTGAGTGAAATACTCCATTTGTTTCAAAACAGCTGCTAGATAATGCTTAGACATGATAAGAAATATATCCGGTAGAAGCAAATATAAAATAATCAGTACGAAGATAATGGTCAAGTACGCAGAATAATGAAATATCAGTCCAGTGAGAATAGGAAACACTATGAAAATCCATCTAAAACAAAAAGTATTTACTTGGAAAGTTCTATCAACACTTACCTCTTTACATCAGTTTGTTCCTTAACTCGTGTACAATATAAATACTCAAATGGAAGTATGTTCGCTGCAGTTATTAAATCACTGTTGCGTATTAGGTTAATATTTCTGAACCAAAGTAACCTAGTAAACTGATGGACAGTATAAAAAGCTTATAAGAACTTACTGGTGAGTTAAACTGTAATGAAAAGGAGAAATTCAAGTATTTTATCCATTCTAAAAATAATGGTAGCTGAGAAGACAACCATAACGTTGACAACAATCCATTAGGCTTTTTAGATACTTCGGGTGAAACAGTATCAGAAATCCCAATATCCTCAAGATATTGTCGTAGTGGATGATTCTGAAATACAATAACTTAAAGCTTGATTTTACCTGTGGAAGACAGATTTCCTCTTCGCCCATACTTAGTTAAAACACATCAATCTGTACAAAAAACGATGAATTCTCGTAAATGAGCCAATACTAACCCTCAGAAAAACTGAATTTGACCCATATGATTTGAAACAATATTCTAGACGAAAGAATACAACATTCAAAATGATAAATACTAGCAAATATAAATATTAGACTTAAAACAACCGTTTATTGGTGCTAACAGAAAATACAACTTCTGGGATTAAACAAGAGCATGGATTATTATATGCCAGACTATGTTGACTAGTCGTACTATCTGATAGCTGTACCTCGATAAACAGAGTGAGTTTTAAATGGCTCGCTGTTGGTTTACAGTCAAATAATTAGCCTATGACCTATAAACTATGCCTGATAGAAAAGATCAGTGAACCAAGAAAAGCGAACAGCGATACACAATGATCATAACGAGGGATCTCAGAAAGACATAATATAGCACAAGGAGTGATTCACGCATATTCGATAAAATTTGTATCTTCTGACTTATATGTTTTAATTAACAACAAAGGAATTTCTCATGCGACCATTTAGCCAAACACTAACTTCCCATAGGCCATACCCCGGACTTAGAAGTATATACTTCTGACGTACAGTCCAAGCGTAAAAGGCTTAGAGAAGTTGAAGAAACTCATGAATAATGTGACTCAAGTTTCAAACTCCGCCTCTAAGCACTTTGATATCAGCAACAGGGTAACTTAAAGCCCCCAATCGAAACCGAGAACTAAATCACTCAACTAGTATATACCACTTTAATGAGTACCAGGTTACAGTCAGTTTTATAAGGTTATGGAATACCACAAGCGTCACTTAAATAGCGATGATACTAAAAGCTGTCATTTACATTGTGCAAACCATTTACCACACTAGCTTCCTTTCGCATGAGTCCAACCTTAACTAAAATTATACGTTACGATAAGAAGTGATTAGGCAGAATTACATCTCACAGCCTTTAGTTGATGGCTTGCGATTTTACCAAGTAGCTCACCACTTTCACCTAGAAGTCTACATCTAGTTTCTCAGCATATGTCAACACTTTATTTTCGTTTCATCCAAGTCATCTCAACACTAGTTGCATCATCTTTCAAACTCGTCACATGGTGTTTATTTTAGATTATTGTTGTTGCGTGCTCTATTTGACTAAATTAGCGTACAAGTATTTTCTAGTACTTCTTCACATTTATCGATGTGCATAGACGTTGTCGCTACTCGACGCCCACAACGTAAAAGCAAAATGCACTTGTGAAGAGTGTAATCGTGTATTATAGCAGTAGCCAAATTTTAAAATTGTGTCAAGGTAATGTTCAATGTAAATTGACAAATGTTTACGAAGTACATATAAAATCGGTCTGTGTAAACATATAATATCAGTATGCAAATTAGATTAAAAAGCGTATGTTTATAGTTGGTATAGGGGTACTACATAATTCCCTCACCAGAACACTGACATATAAAAAAATACATTTAAGTGTTTGACAATAACATGAATCAGCGTAATACGTAGCAGCGATAGTACATAGGCGATTAATTAAGCTGAAAAATGATCAGTTTAATGCGGTTGATAAGGTCGATATTAAATGCGATGATAAAGGAAAAACAGGATTGATAATCATGGTAGAATGTATAAGGAATGATAAAATCGGCCGGGGATCTGTAGTCTGTATACGGAAACGATACGTGAATATTAAGCGCTATATGATTAAATGTAATAAAACAGGAAATATCGATGTTAAAATAGTAGCGAGATGATTTACATATGAAAATATTAATCAGTTAAATGAGTAGTCAAATGACGATTACGAATAAAGATAATAAAAATGAAAATTCGTAGTAAGTTATATATTGATGATTTGCACGTAACGTTTAGGCCAATAGACTCTCCTACCAGAGCGCGTAGTTTTCATAGGCTTCTCTGGCGACGTTGAAGCTTGCGTGGATGTAGTTGTTAGAACGTCGTTCAGCTGGTCTTTATCGTTGACTTCGAAATCGTCAATGAACGCTGGTTTAACTCTGTCGACACTGATGGCTTCTGCTTTATTCAGTCGTTCAATCCTGATAACTTTATCATTTCTATTTAGGATTTTGAATGGGCCGTCGTAAGTGAGTTGAAGTGGTCGTTGTACACCCTCTCTCCTGACGAAGACGTGAGTGCAATCTGTCAGCTGTGGCGGGATGTATGACGTTGGTGCACATAACCAGTCATATCTTGTGGAACTTGGTTACCTGGGGTGAAAAATTCTCCTGGTAGTCGTAATGTTGTTCCATAGACTAGTTCGGAAACACAGCAGCCAATATCTTTCTTTAGAGCAGCTCGTATACCAAGTAGTACCAGTGGAAGTTTGGTTGACCAGTCGTTTTGAGTCAAAGAAGCAGCGAGCGCAGCTTTGAGTTGTCGATGAAGTCGTTCAACCATACCGTTGGAACTAGGATGATATGCGGTCGTTCGTATTCGTTTAATGCCCAGTAATTCAGTTAGCTGGTGAAAAAGTCGGCTTTCAAACTGAGCACCTCTGTCTGAATTGATAATGGATGGACACCAAAGTTAGCTGTCCAGTTTTCGACCAAAGCTATAGCTACCGTTTCAGCGGAGACGTTGGCTAATGGAACTGCTACAGGCCAACGAGTGAATCTATCGATGCAAGTTAGAATGTAATTGAAACCATTGGAAGGAGGCAGTGGACCAACTATATCTACATGTATATGGTCAAATCTAGAGTCGGGGCTAGGAAAGCGACCAAGTAGTGCATTGGTGTGACGGTTGATTTTGACTCTTTGGCAGGACAAGCAATTTCTTGTCCACTTCTTAACACCGCTGTCAATGTTCGGCCATATAAATCTTTCTCTCAGTAGTTTCATAGTAGCGCTGACACCGGGATGCGACAAGTAATTTAACTTCTCGAATATTGTATGTCTCGTGGACATCATTTATAATCCACCAACTGGTCTCCTTTCCAAAAAGAATGAGGCTATATTTATCCACAGTGGTGAGGAAATACATAAATCCACAGTTCCCGTTGTATACACTCAGTGGAGGTATCAGCCAACAAAGTAATGCATTTAAAGCATATGCATACTTCCCATCATCACGGCGACACTGCGGAATATGTCAAAATCGCAGAGTAATCAAACCCAACACGCGATGGAATTAACTAAATCCGAAAGGCAAACAAGTTGTAGTACATATTTGAATATTCATCCATATGACAATCATGATGTCAAATCCAAATCACTACCTGTACAGCGCAAATAAGCCTGGATATCTGTGAAATAGCGAAAATATGCTGACAGCTGCATTTCAGATCCCACTGACTCATTCGACAGTAAAGTTCTGCTCCTGCATGCCTCTTTCGACATTTTTGTATGGATTGGTTTGCAGTTACCCTGGTTCCAGAACGAAAAGAATAAAAAATGCACTGGTTGCTGAATTATTAATACTTCTTTGCATGTTTAACTGGATACTAACTGCTGTGGTGAGCCTCTTGCAGATTATATTGGGCCAAGTTAAACTTTAAGCACCAGTAACTACCAATCAGCGAACGACGTCGATTTATCCAATGAGATTCACGAACGTAGTTCAATGTTGCATAGCGCTTGATTCATTTCACAGCGTGCCATTACAAGGTTACGTTTGCAATTTGAGGAGGTTAGTGTCTATTATTATTGCCTGGACTGAGGCTTGCTTGGAAAGGAGAGAAGTTGTTCGTGTGGTGGTGTAGTGACTCTAAAAAGCTATACTAGGTCAACTGATGGTTTTGTACATCTCTGTGGAATATGCTGGAAGCGAGTTAATATTAGAGAGGATAATATTTCTTAGGAACTTTTTTGCTAGGTCGCATCTCTCCCTAACCTAGATTTTGTACATTTGCGACTACTGGATACTGAAACAGCCTGTGAGAGCCGCTGCTGCCGAGACGGAGAACAGCCTCGTCTCAGCAGTTCAGTGGTATACCACTGTATACCAGCACTGCAGGGATATCGCCTCATGGAAAATGTACAGAAGTACTTCGTTGTTAGGTGGGGACGATGTAGTAGTCCATGTGGATGAGACAGTGTTGGTGAAGAAGAAATATAACCGCTGTTGTCAGAGAGCGAACAACATTTGGGTCATAGGTTTATACGACATATCCCTCCGAAAAGGGTTTGTTGAAACAATAGCAGACAGGAAGGCGACTACTCTGGTACCTATTATAAAGCGACTTGTGAAACCGCGATCAGTTGTACATACCGACGAGTGGAAAGGCTATCATTTGGTGTGACTTCTCTATTGACAGTCGCACGCTGAATTGGGAAATGCTTCTGTCCCATGTTCGCGAAAGATACCCGTTGTAACTGTTTCATCCTATTTTTTATGCATTTCTCTATAAATATACGTTACCACTTATCATAAACGCATCTTTCATGTGATTGGTCCGTTCAAGGTCGTTTGCTGATTGGTTGTTACTGGTGCCTAAAGTTTAACTTTGCCTTATATTGCTTAAAACATCGTTTACGGTAAAATAACTAACGTTATATAACCGATTTTTTACTTTTGTGAGTAGCCCACCATATCGACCGAATGTAACGCAACACTCAGTTGTGACGCTCATTTTCAACAAATTCAAACAATAATGGTGCCTAGAATTATGCCATATAAACTTTTAACTTATGCAGAGTGTACTTACGGTCAATATTCCATTATCTTCCCTTGTACATATATATATCTTGTGTTTGTGAAAAAATTTTAAACATGTCTACTCCATGTGTGCATTATTATGATATTGATGATGCCCGGCAACTGGAGTCCCTCATGTGCATAAAGTGAGAATATATTATTATAAGACGCATTTTATTGTTTTATTAGGGAATTGACTTCAAGCTTTATTTATTTTCCCAAGTATCTGTAATCCATCCAACGCATATTTGGGTTTTTTTGTTAATGCGAAGTCAATATCTCTATATTTCTTGATGTGTTCCATTGAATCACCAGTTATCAGATTTTTCCCACAAACTAAAGA